TTGCATCCAAAAGACGTATAATTTTGACTTAATGCAACTTCTCATTTTTCTCCTTAGTCTATGGGTTTTTTCTCCCACCTTGGGTTTTACCATAGCAAAGGTTTTGTGAGTTTTACTTTTTATGCATTCTTCTGTTGATTTGAGACTCGCATTCCCTCATTGTGCTGACGACTTCATCAACTGTACTTGCTTCATCACTGAAGACCCGATGGGCCATTTACTTGAGTATTTACACACTCAAGGGGGAGTGTTGCAGTCATATTGGAATAGGAATGTGATTGTGTAAATCCTAGTAGATATGGGAATGTATCTTATATTCCTATTAGGAGTAGATTATCTATTAAATGTTGTAATCCTAAAGGGTAAGGAATTAACCTTTCCTACTACTATAAATAAAAGCACAATTGGGTGGAATAACACACACCTCACAATTACACATCTCTCTCTTCTTCTCTCTATGCTGCACCTTCTCTCTCTATGGCCTCCATAGTTGTTCAGTAAATTATGCCTACAACGGAAATCAATTTAATGACCATTTATTCATTTACATTCAGCTATTAAGAGATTGCTAATGCAATGCTCTTAATATCTTAACGTTATATTTGAGTCCTTATACATCTTCCATGGATCTAGCCTTCGAAAAAAAAAAATCTTTCTTTCATTTGAGTCCTTATATATCTTCAATGGATCTAGCCTTGGGGAAAAAAAAAATCTTTCTTTCTTGGAAATCCTTTGAGTCTTTGACCTTAGAAAAGAAAGAACTTGATCTTCCTCTCCTCTCCTAATTCATTGTATTTTTCCAAATGCTATTATAATTTTCACTTCTATAACAAAGGAAAGAATTGAGTTGTTTACTCGATCCAAGTCTTGTGAATGTACGCTTATAAGGATTATAGGTTGTTGTATCTTGGAGGGTAGGGCGTCATATCTTGCTACACCGAGACATTGTCTTAGAGGGACGAAATATACTATTAAGGATAGTGATTACATGCCGCAAGCTAAAATATTGTTCTAATCAAGTATGAAACGGTTTCTAGCCTACAAAAGATAAATATTTTATCGTATTTGGTTTATTTTATTTGATAGATTGTGGTACTAATATTGTGATAATACCAATATTAATTTTATGTGATTTGTTGTAGGAGAAGTAGCATCCACATCGCCAATATTTTCCAACACAAAGTTGCCTCACTAGCACTCTTTTGAAATCCACACTGAGAAAAGTGAGAGTCTAATTCTCCAAACATGATTTTGGTGCTTGTTTCAAACCATATAAGACTTTGTGCAGCTTGTAGACTTTGTCTTTTTCTTTCACAATGAGACCTTCAAGTTGATCTAGATAAACTTTTTCTTACAGTACTTCATTCAATAAAGCAAACTTTACATCTAATTGGTACAATTTTCAACTCTTCTATGTAGCCAGAGCAATAAGGGTTCCAATTGTATCAAGTCTTGCCACAAGAGAAATTGTCTCATTGTAATCAACTTGTGATTTCTGTGCGTACCTTTTTACCATAAGCTTTAATTGCCTTGTTTTTATGCATTGAAACATCAACATTCAACTTGGTCTTATACACTTATTTAATCTGAATCACTGGTCTATCAGTTGGTCTATTAACAAGCTCTCAAGTGTTGTTTTTCTCTATCATAGAAATTTCATCCTTCATAGTTTTCTTCCATGATTCTTCCAATGTAACATCTTCATAACTTTTAGGCTCAATAATGCAGAGATTGCAATGTCATAAACTTCCACCAGTACAAAAAACACTTTGCGCGATGCAGGTCCTTCATCGTGCAAAGTAAAAAAACGTCGCGCAAAAATTAGCCCAACAAACCTTCGCTGTGTGCCAAGGCAGTGACAATAGGGTTTGTGCAACGAAGAAGTAACCTACATCGCGCAAAGTAGTTTTGTGTGATGCAGGTCCTACGTCGCGCAAAACTACCTTGATCGACAAAGAAGTAACATACGTCGCACAAAGTAGTTTTGCGCGACGTAGGACCTGGGTTGCGCAAAACTACTTTGTGCGACGTCGGTTGCTTCTTCATCACGCAAACCCTTTTTTTTTATGGCAAAAATATTTTTTATTTAATTTTTAATAAATATTATAATTAAATTCCAAACAATAATTAATAAGCCAAGAAAAAGTATTTAATTATAAAAATATATGAAAATGTACTTACAAGATGTCCGAACAAAAAAGAAAAAACTACAAGTAGTCTTCTAGGTTTGATGCTTAATGTTTTCTTCTATTACAAATTCTCTCCAAGTAAGATTAATTGGTTAAACTGAATTATCAATTAAAATGTACTTCTATTGATAATTTCAGGGAGTAACACAATCATCGGCATGCCATGCATGAGTTAATTCAACTTTAAGCTCACGCAACCGAGACACATATTCCTGGCCCGTGATGACCTTGCCATCCTCTTCTGCAAATTTTCCTGGATCTTCTAGTTCCTCCAAATGCAAACTTATCGAAGATTTCTCATGTGCTGTAAATTCATATCAGTAAAACAAATCAAAGTGACCGTCATAGCTGCTCTAGTTGGGCAACAAAAATACTTGTGAAAATAATACTTGTTCCAAAAAATTATTGGAACAAAGCAAAGGAGGCTGACATATTTTTCCTGCCTTTCGTCATGTCAGACATCTGTAAGTAATAAGAAAAAGGAAAAGAAGATAGGTTACAGCTTTCAGTGAGAAACTTAAGGAAGTAAATAGCTTTCAATGAAGGTTCAGAAAAAGATATGTGCATGAGCAACGTTGTTAAATTACAAATTTTGAAAAATTAAAATAAATTGGCATTCAATTGATAGATTGAAGACATACTTACTAGATCCATCCCCAACAAGCGGAAGAAAGCCATATTTTTTTTGCAAAAAAGGCCCAGCAATTCAAAATCCGATCCTCAGTACTAACCATCACAGCAGGTCTCAAAATGGTGGCCTATTGATGAAACTGAATGTTAGACACTGCTCCTTAAAGAAGCATGCAAATATACAAGAAGGAAAGGAAATAACTCTACCTCAGGCAATTCACTTAAAACAGCTTCCTCTGCAACAACTTTAGTCCTTAGGAATCTGGAGGGAGACGAGGAAGATGCCCCCAAGCAAGAAACTTGAATAAATCTCATGAGAACCTCATGTTCTTTGGAAATTTGTAGAAATATAGAGATTAAAAAGAAGACCGATGTGTCAATAGAACTTTACGGGAATTTATCTCTTGTATTACTTCTTTAGAAATATATACATGTACAATCAGTGTTCAACAAGGAAACAAAATAAAGCTTATAAACAAACCTACTTAATAAAGGACTCCTAGTATTTACATTCCTTTTTTTCCTAATATTGACTCATGACTAACACTCCCCCACAAGTTGGTGCATAGATATCACACATGCACAACTTGACAAGTGAGTCATCAAACTTTCGACTACATACTGCATGAGTTAGAACATCTGCAAGTTGCTCCTTCGAATTCACAAAAAGTATTGACACAATCTTCCTTTCAAGTTTCTCTTTAATAAAATGTCGATCAACTTCCACATGTTTTGTCCTATCATGCTCTACCGGATTATCAGCTATATCTCTCGCTGACTTATTATCACAGTATAGTCTCATGGTCTCCTTTGGCTTGAACCCAAGCCCCTCAAGGAGTTTTCGAAGCCAGAGAATCTCACAAATGTCGTGAGCCATCCCTCGATACTCAGCCTTAGCTGAGGATCTTGATACTACCTTCTGTTTTTTACTTCTCCATGTAACCAAATTTCCTCCTACAAAAGTAAAATATCCCAAAGTAGACCGTCGGTCACCCACACTTCCTGCCCAATCAGCATCTGTGAACCCTTCAACCCTCAAATGTCCATGCTTCCGATATAAAACTCCTTTCCTAGGTGCATACTTCAAATATGCTAAGATACGCATAACAGCAGCCATATGATCTACACTCGGTGAATGCATAAATTGACTTACTACACTCACTGTATAAGCAATATCAGGACGTGTATGAGCCAAATAAATTAGTCTCCCTACAAGTCTCTGATATCTCCCCTTATCAACAGATTTCTGATTCGGATCTAAACATAGATGGTGTTTTTCAACAATAGGAGTATCTACTGGCTTACATCCCAGCATACCAGTTTCTTTTAACAAATCCAAAACATACTTACGTTGTGACAAGAAAATACCTTTCGAAGATCGAGCAACTTCAACTCCAAGAAAATACTTCAAATCCCCTAGGTTCTTCATTTCAAACTCAGCCGCAAGATTTCTCTCCAACCTTGAAATCTCATCAAAATCATCTCCAGTAATAATCATGTCATCTACATAGATGATTAAAGCTCTCACTTTTTCATGTCTCCGTTTAACAAACAATGTATGATCAGAATGACTCTGATAATACCCAATCTTTTTCATAACTTGAGTAAACATATCAAACCATGCACGAGGCGATTGCTTAAGCCCATAAAGAGACTTACGCAACCGACATACTCCGATATTTCTACCAGCACTGTATCCAGTGTATCCAGGAGGAAAATCCATATATACTTCTTCCTCCAAGTTCCCATGGAGGAAAGCATTTTTCACCTCAAACTGTTTTAATGGCCAGTCCATATTAGCAGCTAAAGATATCAGAACACGTACCGTATTCATCTTGGCAACTGGAGAGAACGTTTCTTGATAATCTACACCATATGTTTGGGTGTATCCCTTAGCTACCAATCTTGTTTTGTACCTGTCTAATGATCCATCGGCTTTGTATTTGACAGTAAACACCCACCGACATCCAACTGTTTTTCTTCCTTTTGGTAAGGACGTCACCTCCCAGGTATTATTCTTCTATAATGCCAACATTTCTTCATCCATTGCTTTTGCCCACTTTGGATCCTTTAGAGTCTCTTCCACACGGGTTGGTACTCGAATAGCCTCCATATTGTCCACCAAGGTCTTGCGTTCTGGTGCAAGACCATTGCAGGAGACATAGTTGGCTATTGGATACTTCACTTTGCCTTCGGAGAAAACCTGTCAGGTGGCACACCCCGATTTTGTCTCGGTGGCAGCTTATATGCATTTACATCATTACTCGCGTTAGTTACATAATCATCCACAATACTTACCTCAGGTATATCCAGAGAAGATTCATTGGGCAGCACTGTGGAGCTAGAGAAAGAGGGGGTTACGTCCGCAGACTTGTCAACAATCTGCCCTGACTGCAGATCACTCTCGGTAGCAACCATTCCTGACTGCATGCTGCTCTCGGCAGCAATCATTCCTGACTCCATGCCGCTCTCAGCAACAATCTGCCATGGCATTCCATCCCCATCATCACGCACGGCATCTATGATCACTGCCTCATTATGCACGACATCAGCTACAGTGTTCCCTCCCAAGTCCACCCATTCCAGATCACCACTAGAGCTCTCCCCCTGGTGATTTGAAGATGAAGATACGGGAGCATAAAAATACTCCGATTCAAAAAAGGTCACATCCATGGTAACATACATATGATCCGTTGCCCCAGAGTCCAGAATCCAACCTGTATGGTGTTGAATTTCGGAGGCTAAGAAAACACGTCCCAGGGTACCTGTGTCGGAAGACGAGTCACCTCGAGTACGAGTCAACAAATTTTGACTAGAGTCACTGGGGCTAGGCACGGCTTCCTGGACTGTTGTTGTAGCTGCAGCAAGGGAGGCACAACCTCCACTGGACCCGGCTGCTCCACGCTCCTTGGCACGTAATTTTTTCTTTAACTCTAGAAACCAATCAGGCACCCCATGCTTAGCAAAGCATGTATCTTCAGTATGATGGGTTTGTCCACAGAAAGTACACTTCAAATCATCTTTATTTTCTCGGTTGAAGGGACGAGAATTTAAAGATTGAGTAGAAGAATTACTAGGACGAGAAGCACCAACTGGCCGAGAAATCATGGCCATGGACGACAACCCTCCGTGATTGTTATTTCCACCCATCATAGTAGCATGTCGTTGAGCTTCACGCTGAACAACAGAAAACACCTCCTCAACAGATGGTAGGGGCTGAGTACATAAAATATCACTACGCACTTTATCAAACACATCATCCAAACCCGCCAAAAAGGCATACACACGATCAATCTGAATTTCTTCTCGAAGTGTCTTGAGATCCACAACACATTCCATCTTGATTGGTCTCCGTTGATCTAACTCCTGCCAAACGGACTTGAGATCAGCATAATACACGCCAACTGGCCGACCCTCTTGACGAAGTTTGAACGATTTAACCTTCAATTCATAAATCTGAGAAATGTCTGAACCATCATAATAGGTCCGAGCCACCTCTTCCCAAATTTCTTTAGCAGTACGCAGGTGAATAAAAAATCCCATGATAGCAGGTTCCATGGAATGATCAACCACCCTTTTACTATTGCATTCCCTATCTCCCACGTCTTATACTCAGCACTATTCTCAGCAGGCTCCTTGGTACTCCCAGTCACAAAGCCCTTCCTACCGCGTCCAGCGATGTGCATCTCCAAAACTTTGGACCAAAGAGGATAATTTGATCCATTTAATTTCACGGTATTTGGTACAGCAGACGCATCACTCTGAATAACGACCGGATTCAATACTAGATTATTGGTTAAGTTACTGCCCTCCAACTTCAACATGCCACTGCCTCCTCCTGACGCCATTCGGTTTTTCCCAAAAAATCAACACTGATGCACGCACACGGCAAAACTGTGCAGAAACGCCAATTAAACATAGTCCAGCCACACACTGCTGCACACGCAGCAAGATCACCCACTCACGGCTACCCTGTTTTCTATAGAAAATTTGCAGAAAACGCAGTCAACCAAGCACAGCGGAAAGAACTAGGGTTTCGGCAACTCTAGCTCTTGATACCAAATAGAACTTTAAGGGAATTTATCTCTTGTATTGCTTCTTTAGAAATATATACATGTACAATCAGTGTTCAACAAGGAAACAAAATAAAGCTTATAAACAAACCTACTTAATAAAGGACTCCTAGTATTTACATTCCTTTTTTCCTAATATTGACTCATGACTAACAGTGTCTAACAACAAAACCTGAATAAATGACATCCAACTTTTATATCTCCACTAATTGGATATTGAACAGAATTTCAGATCCCGAAAGACACTTCTATCTATCTTGAAAGAAAAGTCCAATTGCAAGTAGGCTAAATAACTGCATCGCGGAGTGCAACTTGTGTGTAGAAGTGTATGATACACAACAAACTATCGTAACTGTGGCAAAATAATCTTGATAAACACCTTTTTACTATTTTTGTTAAGGATGATGCTTTGGGAACCAACTTTTAAGAGAAGTAGATGGCAGTAGGATCAGAAGCAGCACAGGAACGAAAATAATGTCATGAATGTCAATGCAGGATACCTACCGTTGCCAGTTGTTGCGCCATGAAATGATTCATTTCCTCAAAGCTAAAGTTTCTTGTCTATCCCTCCCTGCCAAGCTACAAAGTGTTCCTTCATTGAATCCAAAGATTAAAGTATCTTTAATATATAAAGTCACGACTCAAGAATGCATACCAATGAGATTGATAACCACGTTTGCTTTTGCCATGACTGCCTTAATTGAATCTTCATCTCGCGGATTGTATTTCATTGGTACAATCTGAGTAAGTGAAATGTGAGAACATCAGAAACATAATAATTGAAGAATGGAGAAAAATTACTTCCCCAGTCAAGAAGGAACATTAACTAAGAAACAGCACAGATTACCCTACCTGTCCCAAATCCCCCATTAACTTGAGGTGACGATGGGAGTCCTCAAAACCACAGAAAGGAACTAACACCTGACTTCCCATTTTGGCTGGAAGAGAAGTAAAGAATCAGCACGAGCATGCATGACAGATACTATAAACACTTAAGGGATGTTTGGTATTCTTCTTGAATCCGATTTTTGAAAACCATAAATTATCCTCAAGGTAAATGTCAAACAACCCATTATATTTCTGTCAAATTTTCAAGGATAAAATACAAAATCACACTTCCCCATATCAAGTTTAGTCCAACAATCACCCACTAGAAATGTTCTCAATCATAACAATCACAGTCTGAAACAATGCATACATGCAATTCAATGGAATTCCAATTAAAAGCATTTATTGACAGTTAGCTCACCAAGTTGTTGCACAAGATAACGCCCTAGGAACCCCGTATATCCAAAGACTGCAGCAACAATGCCACTGAAAAAAGACAGATTATTTTCCAAATAACATTAACAACGCAATCGTGTGAAACACGTATAACCAAGTTTCGATATCTATGTTTGCTAGGTTTTCTCTATCTGCATAGTTAAAGCATTATTAGCACATTATCTTCACTCTTCACCCGGCACATTCATAAAACATTTTTGTTTTCTCAAGAATTCAGCTGGTTATTAGCTTCTTAAAAGTTGCATTCCATCTCCAATGACAACTTTACTTACTGATTGTACATCTATCCTACCCCAAGGGGCTCATATAGTTCATACATTCGATAAAAGAAATAACTTCAACAAAAGGTTTACTTTTCCTACATTTTCCCCTTAAACTAACGGAGCAACAACAATTAAACATTCTAACTCTTTCAATAATATTCAAAGCAGTACACAGAGACGAGATCCGATACAGAAATTCTTCCAAACGCTTATCACACCCAGAGATTCATGATGTCAAATTTACCAAAGTTTACTTGGTTTTTCATTCACACTCACAACGCACAACACCATCAACATCTTAATATTCGATTTAACACTAAAACCCTAAAATTCCTAACCCCAAAATTCGATTTAACACCAAAACCCCCAATTTCTAATTTAATTTTCCATATTGAATCTAATTACAATACCAAAATCTTCAAGTTAAGTCATTAAAGCCTAATTATGACCTTAGAAAGAAGAAAATAAAGAATTAAGAAAAGATAGATACCTGGGTCAATCTTCAGCGTGCTGCTGCTTGCTGGCTGGGTGCAGTCAAGAGGGATGGAAAAAAGATAAGGAGAGAGACCCAGTGAGAGAGAGGGAGAGACGACGAGATGAGAGAGAGGGCGAGATGAGTGAGAGGGAAGAGAGAGGGCGAGATGAGTGAGAGGGAAGAGAGAGACCGAGTGAGAGAGAGGAAAGAGAGACGCAGGTATACATTTTTACAAATGGCCTATTTTTTAACAATTGGGAAAGTTTAAAAGAACCGCCTATTGTAAACAATTGCCCCGTCAAAATTTTAACAATGGCGCGACGCATTTGAAAAAAAATTACTATAAAATTTACTGAAAATGTAACTTTACTCTCTTCAAATTCAATTTTTTTTTTTTTTTTTTTTACATAAAACCCACAATAATATATTTTTTTCTAACAAAAACCCGACCCGAACTACAATAATAAATTTAAAACTACTTAATAAATATATATATACCATTGAACTTGATTGGATACACATTGTACAAAACTAGTTTCAATGATCCAACCATCAAACTTATTTGTACATATTTCAAGATCGCATAGGCCAAAAATCGCAAAAAACAAACATTCAGAGATCAAGTAATGGGACAAAACTTTTCGACAGTTATAAAAAAAAAATCACGATTTAACGGTTATTTTAACTTCGATTTTGATGATTTTTTACGGCTACACTCCTTGATCCTATATGAATACAATGAATGAACTTGATTTTCAATTTAAAATATTACACTAGTGGATACCACAAAATCTTATGTTATACTTAATGATAGTATAAATAAACTCTTAAGGGTTAGTGAATCTATTGTTTTGATGGGATACGCATTTTACGAAACTAATTTCAACGATCCAATCCTCGAACTTGTTTGTATATGCTTCGAGATTGGATACGCCAAAAATTGCAAAAAACAAACATTCAGAGATCAAGTAACGAGACAAAAATTTTCGACGGTTATTGTTGAGCAAAAATTGTACATAATATGTAAATAAATAATTCACTCGACACAATTTCACCTTCGTTCATTTTTTTGAAGAGGGTTTTATTAATTTGAGTTCGACCCATTCTAGGCTACGCACCTATTAATTACAACCCTTCTTTTGGGAAAGGAATATCCCTTGATTCTAATATGAATAAATTGTAACTTGGGGATTTAGGTGTTTATTTGATTTTGTGACTGCATCTAGGTAGACCCCTAGATTGCCTACGTACCCTCGTTGAGGGATCAAGTCACTCGTAGTTCGTTATGTATCTGCCGCACTCTGAATGGGTTTTGATGTATTAGTGTGTGATTGTCACTCTCTGGCATTTCTGTTTCCACATAGAGAATTTTTTTGGCTGGTCTTGACAGTGGGCATTTGGCCACCCTTTTTGTGCTCCCATCCATGTGTTGTCTTTGATACTTGCCGTTCTTCTTAACACTTGTGCAAAAATGATGCCTTTATCAAGATCCTTTTTGTGGTTTTGATTTGTCTACCAAGTCTTTAGGTGTTTAATGTAAAGGTTGCCATGTGATGAGTTTCCCAATTGATTTGGAAATTTTGACAGTGAGTCTTTTTCTTCTTCTGTAAATTTGGGACGGCAAATGTTTAATATAAAGGCTTTGAACCCTATTTTTTTTTATCTTCACGTGGCAGAGAAGCAGGTGAAAATTTTTGACACAATGAAAATCTTTGTTCCATCTGCACGTGGCAAAGAAGGCTTTGAACCTTCTTTTAGCTGTCCATTTAAAGATGGGGAAAATTTTCCTTTCTTTCTTTGTCTTGTAGCATTTCAATGCTTTTTGGTCAAAATTTTGACACAATGTTTGATCAAAATGAACGACGTCTCCTTCCTTCTTTGTCTTTATCAAAGTTGTATTGAGGACTTTTTGTCTTTATCAAAATTTTGGCTTCTTTTCCTTTGTTCATTTGTCAACATATGCACTTTTCCTTTGTTCCTGTGTCTGCTTTCTTAACTTTATTTTTGACAGATGGCCTTTAGAATGATCCTTTGTTTCTTAATCCAACATGATGACCACGTAAATGGCTTTCATGTTATCTACAAAAAAAAAAAAAAAAAAAACTTTTCTTCTTCCTCCTCTTCACGTGAATGACTTTCAAATGGCCCCTTGGATTTTGAATTCCTCCTTTTCCTTGGATTCTTATCCCAAATAGATTTTCATAGAACTTTAGCCAAAGGCATCCTCCATGTCTTGTACCCGTGAGTAGCAAAGAAAACACCAAACAGAACAATTTCTTTCCCCTTGAGTTGTATCTTTGGTATGTGTTGCTTCCTTGCTGTCTTTCTTTACAGAAACTAAACTTGGAATTCTGAAACTGCACTTTAACAAACTGGCGAAGGGGGAATGGACTATTTAGACTTGGTTGGAACTTCACGGGGTGGTTTAGACCACCCAGAAGAAATTCATGGGATTTTGGCAGTTTATTTTTGCTGCTGTCGATGGGGAGTCCATATCCTCTTTATTTCTCTTTTAAACGTTGCAATTTTCTTTTATAAACTGGAGGTTACAGACTCTAGGTAGTTGATTACACCATCCTTTTACACTTTTGTCTGCAACACAACTTTTAAACAAGAGAGATGAATAAATTGATAGAACTTTGTTTCATACCTGGTGATGAATGTTCTTCTTTGGATCTTGATTCGAAAGCACGAATGGTTGAACTCCTTGTTCTCTTTTATGGCAGCACTTCGTGGCTTTTGGTATTTTCTGTCGAAGTTTCTCTATTTTTCTGCAGAGTATCCCCTCTCTTTTTCTGTCTCCCCCTTCTTTCTGCAACTGAAGCCTATTTATAGACATCTTAGGAGGGTTCTAGAGCTCCTACGTGGGGGGAATAGAGGCCATTTTTTTTCGCCACTTTCTCTTAACCCCCTTTACTGACTCCACGTTTCCTTTTGTTGCAGAAAAAAGGGTCGCACCTGTTTTTTGCACGTTTCTTCCCCTTTTTGTAGGAAGAAATGCACATTATATTTTTATTTTATTTATTTATGGATATTGATTTGTATGTAAAAGCCCATCCTCATCTTTTGGTCTGGATTACATTTTTGTTTTGCCTTGTAGTTTGACCCAATTTGTATGGACTCCATTTTTTTATGTTGTATATTTTTGTTGTTCAACAATTATAAACGAAAAATCACGATTTAATGGTTATTTTAACTCCGATTTTGATTATTTTTTACATCTACACTCCTTGACCTTATATGAATACAATGAATGAACTCGACCTTCAATTTAAAATATTTATATTAGTGATGTCACAAAATCTTATGTTACACTTAATGAAAGTATAAATAAACTCGTAAGTGTTAGTGAATTTATTGTTTTAATGAGATACACAATCTATGAAACTAATTTCAACGATCCAACCGTCAAACTTGGTTATATATGTTTCGAGATCGCATATGCTAAAAATTGCAAAAAACAAACATTTAGAGATCAAGTAACGGGAAAAAAAATTTCGACGGCTATAAACAAAAAATCATGATTTAATGGTTATTTTAACTTCGATTTTGATGATTTTTTACAGCTATACTCCGTGACCCTATATGAATACAATGAATGAACTCGATCTTCAATTTAAAACATTTACACAAGTGGATACCACAAAAGAAAAATGCAATGCAAGAACCCCAAAAGAAAAGCAAAAGGGAAAAGAAAAAAAAAAAAAAAAAACTTTGTGTGACAAAGATATACTTGCAGTCGCGCAAAACGGCTTTGGGTGACGAAGACCTACGTCGCACAAAGTTTTTATTTTAATTTTTTTTTTCCCTTTTGGTTATGAACTAATTCGATTATCGAAAACAATTACACAAGTGGATACCACAAAATCTTATGTTATACTTAATGAAAGTATAAATAAACTCCAAGTGTTAGTGAATCTATTGTTTTGATCGGATACGCATTGTATGAAACTAGTTTAGACGATCCAACCGTCAAACTTGTTTGTACATAATTCGAGATTGCATACGCCAAAAATCGCAACAAAAAAACATTCGGAGATCAAGTAATGAGACAAAACTTTTCGACGGTTATAAACGAAAAATCACGATTTAACGGTAGTTTTAACTCTGATTTTCATGAGGTTTTACAGCTACACTCCTTGATTCTATATGAATACAATGAACTAATTCGATCGTCAATTTAAAATATTTACACTATTAGATAGCACAAAATCTTATGTTATATTTAATGAAAGTATAGATAAACTCCAAGTGTTAGTGAATCTATTGTTTTGATGCGATACGCATTCTACGAAACTAGTTTCAATGATCCAACCGTCAAACTTTTTGTATATGCTTCAAGATCGCATACGCCAAAAATCGCAACAAACAAACATTCAGAGATCAAGTAACGGGACAAAACTTTTTGATAGTTATAAATGAAAAATCACGATTTAACGGTAGTTTTAGCTCCGATTTTGATGATTTTTTACAACTACACTCCTTGATCTTATATGAATGTAATGAAATAATTCGATCGTCGATTTAAAATATTTACACTATTGGATACCACAAAATCTTATGTTATACTTAATGAAAGTATACATAAACTCTAAGTGTTAGTGAATCTATTGTTTTGATGTGATACGCATTGTACGAAACTAGTTTCAACGATCCAACTGTTAAACTTGTTTATATTTGCTTTGAGATCGCATAAGCCAAAAATCGCAAAAAACAAACATTTAGATATCAAGTAATGGGACAAACCTTTTCGATGGCAAGAAACAAAAAATCACGATTTAATGGTTATTTTAACTCCAATTTTGATAATTTTTTTACAGCTATATTCCTTAACCCTATATGAATACAATGAACTAATCCGATCGTTAATTTAAAACATTTATGGAAGTGGATACCACAAAAGAAAAAGGCAATGCAAGAACCCCAAAACAAAAGCAAAGGGGAAAAAAAAAACTTTGCTCGACATAGGTATCCCTGCGTCAGCTTTGCGTGACAAAGACTTACATTGTACAAATTGTGTTTTTTTTTTTTTTTTTTTTTTTTTTGTCTTTTTGCCCTTTTGCTTATGAACTAATTTGATCATCAATTTAAAACATTTACACAAGTGGATACCACAAAATCTTATGTTATACTTAATGAAAGTATAAATAAACTCCAAGTGTTAGTGAATCTCTTATTTTGATGGGATACGCATTGTACGAAACTAGTTTAGATGATCCAACTGTCAATCTTATTTGTACATAATTCAAGATTGCATACACCAAAAATCGCAACAAACAAACATTTAGAGATCAAGTAACTGGACAAAACTTTTCGATAGTTATAAATGAAAAATCACGATTTAACTGTAGTTTTAGCTCTGATTTTGATGATTTTTTACAGCTACACTCCTTGATCCTATATGAATACAATGAACTAATTCGATCGTCAATTTAAA